GGGCCCAAGGAAGGCACTAGGTTGGTCTGGGTGAAAAAGATCAGGAATCAGTATCGGTTCCCCAGGTGTCTGGGGACCCAAGACTAGGAATGGCGCAGGGCCCAAACTAGGAGTAGAGAACAGCGGGCGTGATGGAAGGGTGAATGCGGCTGGGGGAGTCAAGGTGCGGAGGGCTCCGTGATAGACTTACCCCAAGAGAGGCCTGAGGGTAGGCGAGCAGGCCTATTATTTTTATTTTATGTGTATGAGTGTATTGCCTGCATGTAAGTAAGTGCACCCGTGTCGTGCAGTGCGTGCGGAGGTCAGAAGAGATTGTCGGATCCCCTGGGACTGGAGTTACAGACAGTTGTTAGCTGCCATGTGGGTGCTGGGATTCAAACCCGGGTCTTCTGCAAGAACAACCAGTGTCTTAACCGCTGAGCCATCTCTTTAGCCCCATGGTTTATTATTTTTAATGAATAAATATTTTAGACATTTCAGTTATAGGGTCTTCTTATTTGTGTGTGCGTGTGTGTGCGTATGTACCGTGTGTGCATGTTTGAGAATTGTTAGATTAAATCTTCCTAAACTTGAGGGCCTTGAAAAGCATCCCAGATTGCGTTTTAGAGTTGTCTTTGCTCCTTCTTGGTGTTTTCTCCTGACTGCAGTGAGCCAGTCTCTGGCACCTGAATCTCACGTTTTTTTTTCATTTCCAGTCTATTGTGAACAGGAAGTCAGTCTTTATTCAGAGTCTGTGGAGAGCAAAGTAGAGATCCTCCCAGTGCGCTGTCGGGCCTGTGCCGTGAGAGAGTAGAAAGCTCTGTGTGTGGTCACTGAAGACAGGGCTGTTACGTGTTGTTTGTACTCTGTGCTGGCTGATTATCCAGTGTCTCACTGAAGGATACTTTTTTTTTTTAAGGATACTATTTTATGTAAAGTGTTAGCTCCTGATAAGAAAATGGTTTTGAACGAAAGGTTTTAAAGTTGTCCTGAGATAGTGAGGTGATCGTTTAGTGTCCTGAGCCGTGATGGGACTTGGCATTCAGGATGAGGGCCTGCCTTACTAGCCATGCACTCTGACAAGCTGCTAACACAGAGCCTCTGTTTCATCTGTTAGAAGACAGCCCAGTTCCTCCATGTTACAAGGATTAAGTGAAGTAGATTATTGTGCAGCACACAGTAGGTATTTAACAAATGTTGACTATTACTTTCATTATCTGGAATATAATTAAATAGATAAAAAAATCTTCCTTTTTAAATGTCTATATGCAGGAAATCAATAAAGTAATTTTGATTTTCTTAAGTTGTTCCTTTTTTCCTAAGCAGGCCATGATGTGACAATTTCCAGTTATTTATAAACTTAATTTTCATTATTTGTACATGGAGCAATTAACAGTATTTGTTCAATTAGTCAACATCTGGCTTTGTGTAGTAATCAGAATTCTTGATCTTTAAATACCATATAGAGGACTCCAAGGAGTTTCCTCAGCAGATGGTTTTTTTCTGCAAGAGTTCTTCCTGCCTTTTGCTAGAGATGAGGACTTTGAAAATGCAGCAGTGGGTTCCAGTGTAGTCCCCTTCCTTGTCCTGCCCAGCTTCCCTCTGTGATTTTGGTAGGAATCGATTCTTAATTCTATCTCAGTGATGTTAAAACGAGAAAGTGGCAGTAACAGGGAGAGCCAGCGCAGAGCCTGGTTCTGGTTGGCTGTCATTTCGCAGTAGAGTCTGCGTCCGGTGCCTGTGTCGTCTTTACCTGACTCCTTCGCCTGTGGAGAAGTCGTTCCTCATGGGACACCTCCACCCTCCCGCCACAGCCCTCCTCAGCAACACTGCGTTTTCCTTTCCATCCACTACTTTTATTTTAATCTAGCAACTTTTTGGGGGATGTCAGGGATTGAACCCCGGGCTCATGCCTCCTAGACAAGCACTCTCCCCCGAGCCTAACACTTACTTTTATTCCAATTACTTACTTACTTTACAACACTTACTTTTATTCTACTTTTACTCTACCCAGGCCAACACTTACTTTTATTCTAATGAACAGCTGATTTTCATACTAAGTTCTGTGTAGCATCACTTGGCAGTAATCTCCAAATGTTTTCATCACTGTTCTTACCTAGTAATTGATTATTAATCATTTATTTAGACACAATATATTTGAATGTTTATAAATTTAATATGTGCATTGCCATAATGTAATTTATTTCCTAAAATACCACAAGATAGAATTTTTATGTTTTGTTTTCTGAGATAGGATTTTACTGTGTAGCCCTGGCTGGCCTGGAACTCTGTGTAGACCAGGCTGGTGCTGAACTCAAAGGTCTGCTTGCCTCCGCCTCCCAAGTGCTGGGATTAAAGATGTGTGTCACCATGCCTGGCGAGAAATACGCTTACAGATGCAAGTGCTAAAAGATTTCTTTTAAGAGTTTTCTTCTGCAGTCTGGGGGCTGGGTGTCATTAGTGGGGCAGATGGGTAGAGATGCAGAGGAAGGACGAGAGCCTTGTTGAGATGGCTGCCTGCCTGTTTCTTGGGTGGGAGGGTGCTGTGTCCCCGTGGTCTCAGGCTGCTCTGGCAGCTTCCTTCCCACAGTGCCAGCACTCTGCAGTCCTCCTCCATCTCCTTCGCCCACCACTTCTTTCTGAGTCATGGGTTATTGCTGTGGTCTGGCTTCCTTTGTCCTTCTAGCCCTTCACCAGCCGGTGGCCTCTCTGTGTTTAAAGTTGATCATGCCTGTGTGTGCTTGGCAGCCCTCAGGGTAAAGTGTGACCTCCTGTAATTTTGATTTTCTTAAGTTGTTCCTTTTTTCCTAAGCAGGCCATGATGTGACAATTTCCAGTTATTTATAAACTTAATTTTCATTATTTGTACATGGAGCAATTAACAGTATTTGTTCAATTAGTCAACATCTGGCTTTGTGTAGTAATCAGAATTCTTGATCTTTAAATACCATATAGAGGACTCCAAGGAGTTTCCTCAGCAGATGGTTTTTTTCTGCAAGAGTTCTTCCTGCCTTTTGCTAGAGATGAGGACTTTGAAAATGCAGCAGTGGGTACCAGTGTAGTCCCCTTCCTTGTCCTGCCCAGCTTCCCTCTGTGATTTTGGTAGGAATCGATTCTTAATTCTATCTCAGTGATGTTAAAACGAGAAAGTGGCAGTAACAGGGAGAGCCAGCGCAGAGCCTGGTTCTGGTTGGCTGTCATTTCGCAGTAGAGTCTGCGTCCGGTGCCTGTGTCGTCTTTACCTGACTCCTTCGCCTGTGGAGAAGTCGTTCCTCATGGGACACCTCCACCCTCCCGCCACAGCCCTCCTCAGCAACACTGCGTTTTCCTTTCCATCCACTACTTTTATTTTAATCTAGCAACTTTTTGGGGGATGTCAGGGATTGAACCCCGGGCTCATGCCTCCTAGACAAGCACTCTCCCCCGAGCCTAACACTTACTTTTATTCCAATTACTTACTTACTTTACAACACTTACTTTTATTCTAATGAACAGCTGATTTTCATACTAAGTTCTGTGTAGCATCACTTGGCAGTAATCTCCAAATGTTTTCATCACTGTTCTTACCTAGTAATTGATTATTAATCATTTATTTAGACACAATATATTTGAATGTTTATAAATTTAATATGTGCATTGCCATAATGTAATTTATTTCCTAAAATACCACAAGATAGAATTTTTGTTTTGTTTTCTGAGATAGGATTTTACTGTGTAGCCCTGGCTGGCCTGGAACTCTGTGTAGACCAGGCTGGTGCTGAACTCAAAGGTCTGCTTGCCTCCGCCTCCCAAGTGCTGGGATTAAAGATGTGTGTCACCATGCCTGGCGAGAAATACGCTTACAGATGCAAGTGCTAAAAGATTTCTTTTAAGAGTTTTCTTCTGCAGTCTGGGGGCTGGGTGTCATTAGTGGGGCAGATGGGTAGAGATGCAGAGGAAGGACGAGAGCCTTGTTGAGATGGCTGCCTGCCTGTTTCTTGGGTGGGAGGGTGCTGTGTCCCCGTGGTCTCAGGCTGCTCTGGCAGCTTCCTTCCCACAGTGCCAGCACTCTGCAGTCCTCCTCCATCTCCTTCACCCACCACTTCTTTCTGAGTCATGGGTTATTGCTGTGGTCTGGCTTCCTTTGTCCTTCTAGCCCTTCACCAGCCGGTGGCCTCTCTGTGTTTAAAGTTGATCATGCCTGTGTGTGCTTGGCAGCCCTCAGGGTAAAGTGTGACCTCCTCACTGCAGTTCTGAAATGTTTATCGTCTGACCTACTCCACTCTCTAGCTGCCTTTCACCCCACTCCTTACGCTAGACAGTCTCGTCAGATCAAGAGTTGTGCTGTTCCTGATCTCCCTCCTGGATCTTCGCCCTCGTTTTCTTTTTTTAAATTTTAATTACACTTTATTTATTTTGTGTATGTGTGTGCATGCATGTCACACATATGGAGGTCAGAGGACATGTTGCTGGAATTGGTTCTTTCCTTCCATCATGTGGGTCCTGGGCATCAAACAGGTCATCAGGTGTGACAGGTGCCTTTACCTTCTGAACCCATCTCACCAGCCCTTTGCACTTGTTTTATCTGCCTGAAACTTCCCATTCTCCTGCCTGATTCTCCTGCTCAACTTGTACCATCTCCAGTGTCCCAACTTGAACTTCATTTCCTTGGAAGCACAGTACCTGCCTGGTGCTCCCCGTCTCTACTACTTGTTCCTGTTTTTTTCTGGGCACTGGTGTGGGAGGGCCAGGGCTCACTGCCGATCTTTGCTGAGATTGCTGTGCTCACTACAGTTGGATGGTGCACTCATCAGCCTGTTGAAAGTATTCATTGATGTGCTGTACGCAAAGATTCTGTGGGCACCAAGTGCTGCTGCCACTCCCCCCCCACCCTCCCCATGCTTCTCACCCCGACCCTCTTCACAATCCTCATCCTCACTCTGACCCTCCTCAGCCCCCCACACCCCACCCTCCTCACCCCTCACCCCTCCTTGTGATCTTGACGGTCTCTGGAATGTTTTACACGGTTCTTGTCTTTTCAGGGAGTGAAGATTTTTCCGAAGAGATAACAGAACTGTTTGCTCAGCTGCGTGTCTCTTCCAAACCAGAGAAACTCATCAAGGTCAGTGACTCCCTAAGAGTGTAGCAAATAACCAAGCATGGTAATACGTCTGTGACCCCAGCACACGGGAGGCTGAGGCAAGGGGGTTGCAAGTTCAAAGCCCACCTGGGTCTTGAGACAACCAACCACCTCCCTCACTTTATACCATGGCATGGTGTTTAGTCAGCATATGGGAGTAAAAACCTTGCCGGTGACCTCGCCAACAGCAAGGAGAGAGTCTTGATGATTTGGAAGAGTTCCACACTTTTGCCCTGCCTCCCACGCCCCAGGTCCGTGTGCAGAGCCCGTATCCCTCTCCCCAGCACATGTCCCACTCTTGCCTGTTTTTATGGAATACTTTGCTTATTTTGAGTGCTCAGAAAATTGCTCATTTAAAGTTGATGGTGCTGACCAAACTTCATGATACCAAAGATCAAGCCTCTCCATTGAGGTCTTTCCGTTCAGAGATGATGAGATACAGCTGTCACCACGTGGAGCTAGAGGCAGACTTTGCTGTCGCCAGAGACAGGTGACTAAATAGTGACTATTTAGTATGTGGAAGCAGAGTCCCATGATGGAGCCTTGATCTTTGGTGGTGACTCCTGAGCTGTCCCTGTATGCAGCAGAGGATGACCTTGAACTGATCTTTCTGCTTCTACCTCCTGAGTGCTGGGAATATGGGCATGTGCTACCATGCCTGGTTTACAGGTGCCAGCACGTAGCCCGTGGCCCCCCTGCATGCCAGGCAAACACTATACCAGCTGAGCTATGCCCCCAGCCCCTCTGTGTATGATTCTTTTTGCAACTTACCTTACTGTGAAAATTCTAAAGTGATTTTCCTAACCTGAGCACCCCTATGTCTCTGCTGCTATTGTTGACATCTTGTTCTCTTTTAGGTCTGTTATTTGTATGAATTCAGATTTTCCCCTTCTTATTGCAGCTCACCACTGTCCTTAATTACTTGATGGTGTTCAATTCGTCCTGTAGGTCAGCTCCTCCTCCTCTGTGTCCTCATCATTGTCCTGTAGGTCGGCTCCTCCTCCTCCCCTGTGTCCTCATCATTGTCCTGTAGGTCGGCTCCTCCTCCTCCTCCGTGTCCTCATCATTGTCCTGTAGGTCGGCTCCTCCTCCTCCTCCTCCTCCTCTGTGTCCTCATCATTGTCCTGTAGGTCGGCCACTCCTCCTCCTCCTCTGTGTCCTCATCATTTGGGTACTTCCTTATTTTCCTTGCTTTTTTAATTAAAATTTTCAATTTTTATATTATGTGTACGAGTGTTTTGCCTGCATATATGTAAGTGCATCTGTGTTGTGCAGTGCCCATGGAGGCCAGAAGAGGGTGTCGGATCTGCTGGAACTGGCGTTAGAGATAGTTGTTAACTGCTGTGAGGATGCTGGGAATTGAATCCTGGTCCTCTAGAAGAACAGCCAGTGCTCTAACCGCTGAGCTGTCTCTTCAGCCCCATGTTCCCTATTTTCTAGCAAAACATTATAAAGTCATTTAAAATTTTTTGTTAAATTTGTGTGTGTTGTTGTTGTGTATGTAGGTCAGAATTTGATGTTGGGTGTTTTCCTCATTCCCTTCTCCGCCTTACTTTTTAGACAAGGTCTGACTGAACCTGAGCCAGTTCAGCTAGACTGGCTGTCCCAGGGCTCCTCCTGTGCTCCACTTCCCTGCACCAGGACTGCAGGTTCAGGACCCTGCAGCCAGCATGTGACATGAGTGCTGGCGATCTGAACTCGGGGCCTCGTGCCTGTGTGGAAGCACTTGGCTGACAGAGCTGTCCTCCTAGCCCCTGACCCGAACTTGCCCTGACCTCACATTTGGGAGGAGCGTGGGCAAAGCCCGTTCCTTCCTCAGGCCTTGTTGCTTTTGGCTGGAGAAACATTAGTTGTTGGAGAAAAGAGCTCGGAGTGCTCTGAGCCCTGTGTTGCCAGCCTTCGCCAGACTTCCCTTGGGGGTGGTTGACAGTTGTGATATTTGGAAAGGCTAAGAAGTTACCCTCACTTGGCACCAGTAGTCCATGTTGACCCCACTTACTGCATTGTGGGAAAAGCGGGCACGTGGGGTGTGTGCTGTCTCCTCAGAATCTCCTCGACGTAACACATTTATACTGCCGGTTGCCTTTGTCTTTTATGGAGTACCGTTCTGTTGGTCTTCTGTCTTATTTAATCTTCATTAAATTAGCCCCCAAGGTCCCCCCCCCCCATTTTATTTTTAGAAGGAATTGCAAAGACTTTCCCCTGTTGTTTGGACAGTTCCTCCCTCGTTAGGGTTTTCCTAGTCTCTGTCCCTCCAGCCATTCTCTGCTGCTCTGTCCTCTGCCTTCTGTACTGACCTCAGTGTCTCAGCACACTGAGCTTTCCTGCTCCCGAGTCTTCACGTAATCCATTCTGTTTGGTTCTGTGTGTGTCTGTGTGTGTGTCAGTGTGTGTGCGCACGCGTGCCTGTGTGTACACGCACACGCGGAGGGCAGAGGTCAGTGTCAGCTGCCTTCCTCAGTTGCTTCTCCGATTTATTTCTTGAAATGAGCTTTTTAGCTTGTCAATCCAGTACAGCTAGCTGGCCTGCAACCCTAGGGATCTGCCTGTGTCTGGCCCTTCAGGGCTGGGATTACAGACAGGCACCACCACGTCTGGCCTTGGTGGATGGCGGAGATCTGAGCTCAAGTCACCCAGCTTGCATGGAGCAGTTTGCTGACTGGACCAGCTCTCTAGCCTCTGTTTGGTTTTTTGCTTGGGTCTCTGGTATAGGTCAGTACCTCTAAGTTTTGACTAATAGGATGAAAAGTTCAGGGGTAGGAATTTTTTAAACGTGTGTGTAGAGTAGCATGCAGAATATTTGAACATGTCTCTTGGGTGTTTGGATGCTTTGTTTTCCAGAGAGGGGAGTTAAGGGCTAGAAATAATGGTCTAGGAGCAAGCATCAGGTCAGGTGAGGTGAGATGTGTCAAGGGTGAAGGCAGGCCAGTGGGATCCATGTGGCCAGCAACAGAAGAACAAAGAGTATGAGGTAGTGAGGAGCCAGGGATACTGGTGTTCAGAGAACCCAGAGACAAACCAGAGGTTCCTATCAGGAGAGTGGACATTGTGGAGCTTGTATAGTGACATAGTGCACAGTAGGAAACATGAATGAACTTACATGTGTGATAGCATGGATACATCTGACATGTGCTGTGCATTAAGTATCCAGACAAATGAAAGTGAGCTTGTCTCCATCTTTACGCACCTGCTGGACAGATGAGGTTTGGGTGAGTGGAAGGTACTTGTCTTTGGTTGGGCAGGATTGAATAATGGGGTGTCATGTGTCACGGGACCTTTGGGGGCCGATGGAAGTGTTTTGCATCTTGACTTGGCTAAGTTTCACAGACATGTTTACAGGTGCATGTCATGTAAACATGTCTGGAACTCTCCTCTGAAGATTTGTTCACTGTACCTAAGGTTTTCCTCAGTTTTTAAGAAGCCAAAGAAAGAATTTGAGAAGTAACTGGATCACAGGGCTGATGTTGTCCAGGGTTCTTATCTAGTAAGACAGGGCCTGTTCTCGTGGGAACAAGAGCTTGACTCCAGGGCGCATGTGCCCTGCTGGGAAGGAAATTGCATTGTTTAGATTATCTTCCTTATTTAGGCAAGAAATGCAGCCTACCAGAGGATCAGAGCGTCTCTGACCCAGCCAGTAGCAGAAGGAGAAGAAAAACAGCTGGAGGCCAGAAGTACCGAGGACGCCAACCAGAGTTCAGTAGAGGTGACCAGAGCACCTGAGCCCTTCCTGTGTGTGTGTGTGCCTGTGCCTGTGTGAGTTATGCACACATATGACTGGGTGCCCATGGAGACCAGAAGAGGGGTTGGAACCCCTGAAACTCGAGTTCCAGGCAGTTGTGAGCTGTCCAACGTGGAAATTCAGCCCAACTCGTCTTTAAAAAAAAAATAAAGCTGAGGGAGTTGGGTGATGGCTTTGTGGTAAAGTGTTTGCTAATACAAGCGTTAACACCTGAGCTTGGATCCACAGCACCACATGAAAGGCTGGGCTTGGTGGAGTGTGACTGTAACCCCAGCACTGGGGACTGTGGGGTTGTGGAGACAGGATGACCCTCGAGGCTCACTGGTGAGGCAGGGTAGCTGGAACATGAGCTTGGGGTGCAGTGAGAAAGTCTCAGGGATAAGGTGGAGAGTGACCGAGGAAGACACCAGACATTGACCTCTGGCCTCCACATGTGCACACAGAGGTGAGTATACACACACACACACACACACGCACACACACACACACACCACACACCATGGACCACACCCCCCCCACCATGCACCACACACAGACATACCACACATCACACACACCATGTACCACATGTCACACCACCCCCACATACACACACACACACACACACACACACACACACACACACACACACACCACACACCACACATCACACACACCATGTACCACACGTCACACCACCCCCACATACCCATGTACCACACATCACACACACGCACACACCCCCCACACCATGTACCACACATCACAGACACACACACACATCCCACACATACCATGCACCACACATCACACACACACATACCACACACATCTCACATACACACACACCACACACACCATGCACCACACATCACACATACACATACATACTATACACATCACACACACACATCACATACCACACATCACACACACACACACATGCACAGCTAAACTGAACTAAAATACAGATATTACAGTTGAGGACTAGGGTATTTTTATTTTATTGCAGTGATAACAATAATTTCAACATTGTGATCCAAGATTGATAGCAATTTTTTTGATGCTATAGGAGAGGGGTGAAGGAAAAATGAGGGAGGGAGGGAGGGAGGGAAGGAAGGAAGGAAGGAAGTCGGTTGTGCCCCAAGGAAAGATCCCAGAAACTGCCACTAGACACTTTATCTCAATCCTTTACCAAAACCTGGTTGCATGGTCTCACCGGTCTGTAGAAGAACCTCTGTTTTTGCAGTTACAATCCCAATCCCAGCTGTCAAGTGGCACCGTACTGTGGAAGAAGAGGATGCCTGTGGAAAGGACAAGCAAGGTGGAGTCATCCACTGAGAAGAATTGACAGTGACCAGTGTCTGCTCTGGCCTTCCTTCCAGGGTGTCCATGCGTTCGCCATCCGGAGCTTAGCAGAGCTGACTGCCTGCTCGGTTGAACTCTTCCACAAGACAGCGGCTTTGGTTCTGCATGGCCAGAGGCAGGAGGTGACGGCCTTAGTGAGGAGCAGGGCTCTTTCCCAGTGAGTGTGATAGCTGTTTAAAGAATGAAGATGCCCAGGGGGCTTCTTGCCCTCTTCCTGAGCTTCTAGAAACTTCTGCTTTTAATAAGATGTTGTTTATATCACACACATGTATATGTTAGAGCTTTGTTCGTGTGGATTTTCTTATTTTTCTTTTATTTGAGACTGGGTCTCCCTGTAGCCCTAGCTGGCCTGGAACTCAGTACTATGTAGATCAAATTGGCCTTGATCTCAGAGCGATCTGTCTGCCTCTGTCTCTTGAGTGCTGGGAGTAAAGGCATGTGCTACCACGCCTAGCTTCATTTGGAGTGTTTTCAGTGAGCTGTGACAAGCCTACATCATAAACTGCCACTTAATGAATAGGCTTGTGCTCTGAGAACTGTTTCATCTCAGATTTTTTTTTTAAACAGATCTTTTTTTAATTTATTATTTTTATGTGTATGTATGTATTGCCTGTATGTAGGTAAGTGCACCCGTGTCGTGCAGTGCCCACAGAGGACAGAAGAGGCTGTCGGATCCCCTGGAACTGGATTTATGAACAGTTGTTAGCTGCCATGTGGGTGCTGGGATTCGAACCTGGGTCTTCTGCAAGAACAACCAGTGTTCTTAACCACTGAGCCATCTCTCCAGCCCCAGATTGTTAATCTTATTAGGAGTGGCACAGAAACTAGTTCTAAGTACCTCAGTTCTTAATTGCGGTTATTAGTTACTGAGTGCTGATTACATACCCGGTGCCATGCTAAGGGAGTAATGTGTATCATTCCAAATTCTTAGAGCAGCACAAAGGGTAACTGATTAGCCCAGCTTTAAAAAAGGAGGAGACGCAGACCTGGGAAGTTAAGGGGCTCGCCCAATTTGTGCAGCACAGGATGCAGACGGTTGTCCAAGTCCCACACATGCTTTCTTTTTCTTTTTTTCTGACTGCATTGGTGATTTTGAGCAAACATATTTCAAAATAGTAGAAAGTAATCCCAGGAGGGAGGATAAGGCCTAGTGATGGTCTAAATTTAAATAGACGCCTATGGGGAGGTGTGCATGCATGTATGTGCTGTGCTGAGGTAGGGTCTTGCTGTGTGACCTAAGCTGTCCTCAAATTTGCAGTCCCTTCCTTAGCCTGTTGAGTGCTGGGATTATGGACGCCTGGCTAACCCTGATTTAAGTGAGACGCTTCGGGGTACTCAGGGCAGCCGGTGCACCAGGACTGGAAGGGGCTGTCGGTGCGCTTCAGACCCCTCAGCGGCAGCAGCCCCAGTGTTGTCCTGAGCACCCTAAAGGATGAAGGACACAGCCCCAAAGCAGCCTGTTGTATGGAGACTGGTTTTCCTATGACGTAGAATGGCCTTCCAGGCCCCACTTCCTCACTGAGTGCCAGTCTACCTGATGCCACTTCAGACACGCCTCCTCACACAGCCCAAAATGCTATCTCCCATCAATCTGATCCTTTAGGCTGCCTTATTCTTGTAGCTCATACCGCTCCCCCCATCTCCCCCTTGATTGATCAGTGAGAATCCGTAGACATGAGACTGCTCTCTGAATCATCCCCAGAGCTTAGAATAGTGCCTGGCACATAGGAGACTTGCACATGCGTTTCTGCGTGAATGGATGGATGTGTACTTAGCTGTGCTCTTCTCTGTTGAGGGGACTAAGGCTGATGTCCTGGCGCCTCTTAGGGAACTCTTCTAGTCGGCGTGGCCTCTGCTAGGAAGAGGTGCTTGTGTTTAACCTATTTACTCAGAGAGAGAGAGAGAGAGAGAGAGAGAGAGAGAGAGAGACAGAGAGAGAGAGAGACAGAGAGAGACAGAAAGAGACAGAATAAAAAAAGACACCTGGTATATAGTCAGGATAGTAAGACCAAGAGATAACAAGGAGCTATGACACGAGGGCTCTGAGGAGACGTTCAGCACTGGCTGTCTTGTACTTGATCTCGGAAGCCAGCGATAGTCATAATCTGAGTGACGATGGTCAGGTCCCTTAACTTCCTTAACTTTCATTGTCTAAAAAATGAAAATAGTATCGGTGCCTAGTAGTGGTATGAGCGAGCAAAGGGGTCAGCTCCTGATGGGGAGAACAGGCCAGTCGTCAGTACAGGAATTCAGTAACAGGATGCTGCGGTGTGGGAGGCCGAGAAGACCAGTGCAGCAGAGGGGAGCACATGCAGAGGGCTGTTCACAGTCAGCCTGGAGAGACCAGAAGAGGCGAGGACCTAGAGACGGAGGGCTACCTGCAGGGACTGACCCTAAGAAGGGGTAGTTGGTGCGGACGTCATCCCAGAGGAGGAACAGCCCAGCTTCCACCGTGCAGAACTCAGGCACCCAGGAAACAGCCGTTGTGGGGAAAGGCAGGAAAGGGTCTGTCCGCAGCAGGAGGAAACAGACACAGCCCCAGGGGCTCATCAGACTCTCCCAGTACTGGTAACAGCGCCTGTATGGTGGGGCTTGTGTCCCAATACATGGGGTCACTACAAGATTTCTTACTCTAAACTGACACCAGGAGAGAAGGCGGACTTATACCTTTACGTGCTTTCTTCTTTACAGTTACCGTCAGGAGTGATTTGCTCTCTTGCTTTCTTAAAAACATTTATTTGTATTTTATGTGATGAATGTCTTTGCCTGCCTGAATGTGTGTATGTGCACCCATGTGCATATGCCTGGGGCTGGGGGAGGCCAGAAGAGGGTGTTGGATTTCCTGGAACTAGAGTTAACAGGTGGTTGTGAGCCGAACCTGTCTCTGCAGGAACAGAAGTGCCCTTGACCATCTCTCCAGCCCCTGGGTTCTGCAAGAGTTGCTAAATACAGTTTATTAAGTAAAAAGAGGAGGAAAAGGAAGAACAGAGTTCTCCTGACTGGTTCTTCTTTCCCAGGGTCACTGTTGGCTTGTGTAAAGAGCTGTCCTCCCTGTCGAAACAGTTCACCACCTGTCTGACCACTGCTGGGGTAAGAAGTCATGCCTCTTGGGGCCAGTATCTAACTATTTTGGATATATTTTATGTACCATAAAATTCACCTGTTTTGAGATACAAGTTGATGGCTTTTGCTGTATTTATGGAGCTGTACAATTATTGTTAAATGGAATTTTAGAATATTTCATTAACCTCCCCCCAAAAAACCCCTCATGTGTTAACCCTCCTCATCTCCCTCTCCACACTTTCCCAATCCTGGGTAACACTTTACTTTTTGTCTCTGTAAATTTCCCTGTCCTGAACATTTTATATACCCAAGATCATATGTGTACACGTTCTGTTAGCCTAGCATAGGATTTTTGAAGTTTGTCCCCATTTTAGCATGCGCTAATACTTTATTATCTGGATTCCATTTTTTGGCTCTACATACCACATTTTATTTGTCTGTTTTTCAGTTGGTAGACATTTAGACTGTTCCTACTTTTAGAATTTTATGGGTGTGAATGTTTTGCCTGCATGTATGTAAGTGCACCGTGTGTGTGCATTGCCCAAGAAGGTCTGAAGAGGGCATACGCTCTGCTGGAATTGGAGGTATGGATTATTGCTGGCTTCCATGTGGACTTTGGGACCTGAACTCAGGTCTTCTGCAAGCACAGCCGATGCTTTAACCAGTGAGCCATCGCTGGTCCACCTGCTCACTTTCTTATGTCCTTTGTGCAAAGGTTTAAAATTTTGACAAAGTTGAGCTGTCAGTGCTTTTGGTGTTGTGCCTAAGAAGTCACCGCCTAATCAAGGTTGACTTTGTGTTTCTCTGATGAGCTTTTGTCTGGGATGTACTCTGCATTAATTTTGGTGTGTGGTGTGAAGCAGGGGTCCAGCTTCCTGGCTCTGCACGCTTTTGTCTCGAATACTGCTTGCTGTGAAGACTGCCTTCCCATTGAACTCTCTTGCCCCTCTATCAAGAGTTACTAGACGGCAGATACCTAGGTTCGTTCTGTGTTCTCACATACTTAAACAGGCCAAGATCTCTTGCCCAGGGGATGGCCATCTACCGTTGAGATGGGCCTTCCTGTATCAGTTAACCTGACCAAGGTAATCCCTTATAGGCATGCCCAGGGGCCTGTCTCCCAAATGATTCTAGATTTTGTTGAGTTCACAGCAGCAGCTATCACGTGTGTAGATTGTTTTCATACATGTGGGCCATTGTACTTTGTTCATATTCATCGAGTTACTCTCTTTCCCCTACTGCCGAAAGTCCTGCTGATGCTTCCATCCCCCCTCCCCCCAGTAATCTAGATGCCGTCTGTGAGAGAAGGCATGCAGTATTTTTCTTCCTGAGGCACAAAGGTGTGTTATCTTTTCTTGAAAATGACCTAGTTTCATTCTTCTTTATGCCTGAATAGAACTACTGTCTGTTCAGACCACACAGAAGTCAATTAAAAACCCACAGGGCTGGCCAGGTTGCTCAGTGGGTCAGGGTGCTTGCTGTGCAAGCCAAGTGCCCGAGGTTGATGCCCTGGACCTGTGGTGGAATGAGCTGACACCCCAAAAAGTTGTCCTCTGGCCTCTACTTATGTGCATTGTGTACGTGTGCACAGACAGGAGGAGAGGGGGAAGTGTGGGGCCGGTCTCTCCTTTCGCTGTGGTGGAATGAGCTGACACCCCAAAAAGTTGTCCTCTGGCCTCTACTTACGTGCATTGTGTACGTGTGCACAGACAGGAGGAGAGGGGGGAAGCGTGGGGCCGGTCTCTCCTTTCACAGGTGAGCTGTGCTGCCTTGTCTAGGTGGGTGCGTGTATTGATGCGTACGTGTTTCACAGTGGGATTCTCTTCTACCTCTTGGTTTTGTAAAGTACTCTGACATAAAACTACCTTTGTTCTAGGTCACAGAAAAGGCAGATGTCCTTAATCCCTTGATCACTGCAGTATTTCTGGAGGTTAGTAGTAATGGTTTTAAGTCTTTGCTCCTAAGCTTTAATGCATTATGTCATTACATTAGTGTTTGCTTTTTTCTGGTATTTTCTTTTAATTTTTTATTGAATTTTTGTGATAACAAAATTTTAATTTTTTCATACAATGTGCTTTGATGGTATTTAGATCTCCTTCTCTTTCTGCACCGTCCCCCACTGCCCCCGCCCAACTTAATGTACTCTCATATATAGTATATGGCCTAGAGAGTATAATTTGTGTCCCCAAATGTCCTTCATTGTGGGTCCGTCCTCCAAGAGTCCCATCCTGTGAGACACTGTCTCTCCCCCTCCCAGCAGCCATCAATTGCCCAAAGTTCCTTAGGTCGGATTTGGATTTCTTACATACGTTCCATGTCTATGCTGGGATTTTAAACCAGAATATGCCGGGAGGTGCAGGCAGGGGAGGGGATCTAAATACCATCAAATTATATTGCGTGAAAAAAAAGTTCAGTTAAAAAAAAATTGAGACATGAAACAAAATGTAAATACAATACTCATGTATGAAATCCTCAAAAAATGAAATAAAAAAAAGACAAACTTAGCTTTCTTTTGTAGCAACAGAAAAGCCTGAGATAAAGCTGTGTTTTAGGGTTTGACCCATTTTTACTGTGTTAGCCCGAGCCTCCCCCTCCTCCTCCCTCCCTCTCCCCTCCCTCCCTCCTCCCTTGCTCCCCTCGCCCTCTCTCCTGCTTTTTCTTCCTATTCTTTGATTCTTTTATCGTAAACATATTATGTAATTTCATGAATTATATATTAGTTTCAGTCTTTAACTGTAAATAACATTGGTTAATAAAATGGACACAATTTAAAAAATCCCAGATTGGCAGTTTAGCCATGCTGATAAGCTAGGCCGCAGTGCTGTTTATTTGATATCCACCGCTACCCGTGGATTGGAAGGCCTAACGGAGACGTGGGTAAAGTGGAATGGAGGTGGCAGTAGGCTGTCCTGATCCTACCCTTGATGGCCTAACAGCTCTCAGTGATGACATACCCTGTGGAGGCCGGCTGCTAAGCAGGGAGCACTGCAAACCACACAGCAACACTGCTTCCCGAGGGACGAGGGTTGTGCTGAGAGATGGTACAAAACAAGACATGTCCTCTCCAAGACAAAGTCCTCCTTGTCTTGTCAGAGTGGCAGCTGAGCTTCCATCTCTTTGACAGTCTGTTAGCGTCAAGGACCCAGGGTTTCAGTGTCCAGGACTTGAGGAGGTATGAGAGGACCCGTGGTCTGCCTTTGTTGTCTCCTTGTGGGATGGCCTCTGGAGCCCGTTGGCAGAGCTCTTGTCTTTAAACTGCTGACGGCTTAGACCTGTGGTGATCTGGGTAGAACATACTTCTGTGAGTCTAGTGGGAGAAATATATTGCTAATAGGCTAGATTTTAAATATAAATTGAGGGTTTTTTTAAAGGGATAGACGGTTACTTCTTTAGTTTCAAAGTATTTTACGTTACCATTGAGGAAATGGTTTCATTCCTCAACTACACAGTTTCCTTTGAATAGTTTGGGAGAACTCTTGTGATCACTTAACTGATTTTTAAAATAAGAGTTCGTGATTTAGTCCTGGCAGAGTTCAGGGAACTTTGCAGCCCAGCAAGATCCCTGGGTCCTCCCTGGTATGTTCCTCAGTCCTGAATCCAAATTGCTGTTCCCGGCAGTCTTGCTCTTTTTAAATGCAAGGTGATTCGATGAGATGATCTATGAGGTCTCCTTTGGCTGGAAAATGTGTTGTCCATGTCCTACTGAAGTTTGGATAGGAGCACTAGCCATTGCTAGATGCACAGAAGGTGACCTCACTTGGACAACGAGCTTTGAACCTCTCGTCTGAGAAGTTGTACATTTTTACTTAATGTAATAAACCGTTATTCTGGAAACTGAGATCATGTCAGATATAAATCAAGTCTGGCGTAACAGTTCTGCAAGGTTTCTCCTAAACATGTTTGTTGTGCATATAGATGGTGTGTGTTCCATGTGATCTGAATGTGGTGCTCCGTTACATCTGAGCAGCAGCTGCTGTTCACTGTTTACACTGAGTCTGAGGGAGAAGCTGTCGCAATGGCTAAATCTGGAGGGCGCAGGGTTCATAGCCTTCTGAGAGCCGCTCTCAGTGACTGACGTGGTACTGGGCAGAGTCCCCCAGTTGGGATGGATGATACTGTCAAGCTTGAGCAGGTGGCCGAGAACAGTGGCCATTTCTGATGGCAAGTTGGGAGATGCTGACGATGGTCTTGTTGCTGTATTAGCGTGAGCACCAGATCCATCTCATCCCTGTTGAGAGGGCTGCATGGTCTGCATGGTCACATCTGTTCTGACTTTGCTTCATAAGCCACGGCTTCAGTCAGATCGCAAACTCAGGGCTGTTCTTTTGCTCTTTGAAAAGTGTGCTTTCTCTTTCTTGGGATTTTGACATTTTCTTTCTGGTGATTTTTCAATCCTGCCAGGCATCGAACAGCGCCTCCTACATCCAAGATGCCTTTCAGCTGCTCCTGCCCGTGCTACAGATCTCTCTCATTGAGAGCAAGACTGAGTCAGCCAGGAGTGGGCCTCTGTCAGAACACTGAAGAACGGAAGATGCCACCTGTGACTGTGACCGCTGTCATGCCTCTTTTCTTCAGGGCTCGCAGCAAGGCTGAGAGAGGCACTCAGTGTGTGAAGAGCCAGGCAGGAGCGTAGGCTTCCTGGGGATGTGCTGCTCCGTGTGGCTGATGTATTCGGGTTCCCCCACCCCGCTCTTCCCAGTGTTGGAGTTAATACACGATTTAAAAAGGTATATGTATTTGAGGAAAGCCTCAGATAATAGCTCTAAATAAAGGTTAGTGGGACACTTGGGCAAAAGTACTGGACTTCTTTGAAATGTTGTAAAACAAGCTTGTCATGGTTATAATTTGTGGATGAACTTGTTAAGCAGGAGGAAAAGAACTTAACCTGATGTCCTGGAGTCCATGACTCTCATGGCTCATTGATGCCACTTTGGGCTTTCTTTCTTCCAGAATGGATTCTGTGTCTCTAGGGGAGCTGAGCATGTACAAGCCCCAGATGATTCTCCTTCCTCATGGGGGTTCTGGGACAGTTAGGCAGTGTCATGGCTCGTCATCTCCGTAGGTGGTGTTGGAGAGAAGCTGGCTGCCCCATGGATGAGCCACAGTGAAGTCAAAGTCCCTTTGGCTTCAGATGGCCACTGCTCAGCTGGATTCCAGATCAGTAAGTGCACATGCGTGCCTCCAGCTGCAGAGTCTCCAGCGGGGTCCACACGCCCTGTCTGCAGGGTCCAGAGGAGGAACAGACTCTCTTGGTGAGGGGCTCTTGTTTGAGTATCATCAAAGTCGTCAAGTCCTGTAAAGATGATATGCACTCATAACAGGATTTAGCCTCTGAGATGCAATACACCCTCAATCTTTGTTTTAATGTATTTCTAAAAAAATACGATGCTCATCTGTAAATCTTAGGGCTTTTTTGCAGTCTTTAGCAACAAGAAGCTATTTTGGTATTCAGACTTTTTAAGAAAGAAGTTCTTCAACTTTGTTATTTTGTTTTTTTAATGGTTCACGTAACTTTTGTGAATCATGCCCCTCATCTTTGAAAACCATTACAATAAGATAGAATTATATTTACTCAAAGTGTGATATTTTAGAACATCAAGAACTAAGGTATTATGTCTTAGCTGCCCATTTTCCTAAAAGGCTTAGCAATGAAGATCTGACATGGCAAGCGTCCAAGGTGCCCTTGTGGCCCCTGTTGCTCTATGGAGCATGCTGGTTTGAGTCAGTGTTCCCTGTAGCTCCAAGTATGTGAGCACTTGGTCAGTTGGTGTTTGGGGAGATTTAGGAGGTGTGGCCTTGCTGGAGGAAGTGTGTCACTGGGGGTGGTCTTTGAGAGCTCCAGCTTCCCCTGCTTCCTGTGCTTGGAGATGTGCGTGCTCAGCCTTCTGCTCCTCTGCCTTTGCTGCCACACCGTCCCTCCATGACGGCCTCCCATCTTTCTGGTACCACAGCCAAATAAACTCCTCCTTTAAGTTGCCTTGGTCATGGTGTTTTATCATAGCAGCAGAAGAGTAATGAACATGGGGGGAGCCTTGAAACTTTGCCCCTGCTGTGACTGGCTGCAGCTGGCTCAGGCACCGTCTGCTCATGGTGCTTTACTCTTTCTTGAGGCCCATCCTCCTGGTCATTGTGTCTGGCCAAGTTCCATATCCCAAAGGGCTTCCTGTCTGAACATCCCCAGAGTTAACGTCCAGATGCGCTCTCAACACGTTTGTCATTAAGCTAAAGGTGAAGAAAGGTGCTGTGATCATTGACCTCACAGATGAGTGCTGAGCTTCCTGGACGTTACCTTTCTGAGCTGCCTTGTGTGGAGGCTGCTGTTGTGCTTACCTCTTGCCCCCTCCCCCTTCCTGTTTTCTGTACACACTGGCCCTTGCTTGCTCAAGCCAGTCCTAAAGTGTAGGTCGCTTTTATAGCCTGACTGTGCATGCATTGATAGTGTCCATTTTTTGGGAATTTTGTACATTATAAATGTATTCTGAGCATCCCCACCCACCCCAGCTCATCCCTGACCACCCCACCATGTCCCAACTTCATGTCCTCTTTTTTAAAGTGACACTGCGTCCAGTTAGTGCTGCTCATATGCACATGGCTGTGGAGCCTTCCCCTGGAGCTCAGGCAACACAGCAGCCTGAGCCCTGAAGCCCTGCCTCCCTCCCGCCAGCAGCCATCAGCCAGTGGCTCCTCAGGGGTGGGACCATGGCCCTATCCATGCTGGAGTTCTGACTGGCCTGATCTTGTTCAGCTCTCACACAGACAACCACAGCTGCTGTTGAGTTCCCGAGTACAATGACCAGGGCACGTCCAGAAGACACTATTTTGTGACAGTCCTCCCTGAGCCTTGGAGGAGTATGATGTGGCTGTTTCCTTTACGGCGAGCACGCCATGGTCACTTATCCTTGCACTTTGACCATGATGCACCTAATTCTTTAAGGCACATTTTTAAGTTGGAATGGAGGCAGTTTGCAAAGTTTCTTACCTTGGTGACTTAGCAGTGACCTTGGCAGTTTCAGTCACACCTGTTTAAACCTGAATTATCTACATGATTTTAGCTGTTTATGTCAGAATGGATGGACTTTCTAAGTTTTTCATACAATTGCACCTTACTTCTCCCACGGCGTGTCACTGAGTCGCTCAGGCTGCACAGCTCAGGCATATGTTGAAGGAAACGTTCAGAAATCGAATGTTCTACAGTCAGAGCACTCAGTAGGTCAGGACTAGCACCGCTCACGCGTGGCTCACCTTTGAGCTCTGCTTCAGGGTCTGATGCGTGGCAGGAAATGTTTGTTGGCTGAAGGAGAAGAAAAGAAGGACAAAAAGAGAAAGGGAGCAAAGGGTTAAGTGAAAAAGCCGCAGGGCTGGGCAGGCTGCATGTAAACAAGCCACAGGCCTCCCAAGAGGTGGTCCCTGCTCCAGGCTCAGCTGGGGAAGAAGCATTAAATACTGGCCTGGAGACATGGCTCCGCAGTTAAGAGCACTGACTGCTCTTACAGAGGCCCCGGCTTCCATTCCCAGCACCATGTGGTGGCTAACAACCATCCATAACTCCAGCTCCAAGGGAATTTGACACCTTCTGACTTCCCTGGGCACTGCACGACACGGGTGCACTTACGCACATGCAGGCAGTACACTCATACACATAAAATAATTTTTTAAAAAAGAAACATTAAATACTGGTCTTTCCTTCAAACCCAGTACGACTTTTGGTTTTATGACAAGCAATTCTTCTTATCACTTCCGCAGACCCTGATGCATCTGGTGGCCTGGGGCAGCAGGGCCCTTCCTGGGCCAACCCGCTTCCCCTTCTTTTGTGTAGTTTCTTTTAAACTAGCCAACCAGGGAAGACTAAGGTCAGATCCCAGCCAGTGGGGAAAAGACACAGTGCTCTTGCATTGGGATAAAAACCTCTCAAACTTCTGGATTGGGTCACCTATTCCATCTGAATGACAGTACGACGTGCCCTTTTCAAAAATAAAAGCTGCCTGGCCAAGTTACTTTCCCTTTTTCCAAGTGTTCTTTTTGTGGTACTGGTAGGGTCCTTGGACATCAGATTTTTAAATAATTTGGAGGCTCAGTCTGAGCTGCTAATTCCACCTGGAAAGGAATCCAGAGCCCTGACTTTGGGGCGATGCATCCTACTATCTTGTTGTGGCCCCAAGGCTTGGGCATTCTCTGCTCCCAAGATTGGTAATGATCCTGAGACAGGAAGGTCTCATGACAATGCAGAAAAGAGCCCAAGCCAGGCAACTGCACAGAATAGGCGAGAAAAGTCATGAAGATGACAAGGTGTTGCCTCGGAGGTCTGGACATTCTAGAGGCTGAGATTGAATAAGATGCACAGTTGAGTGGGAACTGAGTTCTGGAAGTGTTCGGCACTTGACTCCCTTCCTTCGAGGGCATCCTGGAAACAGGTGAAGATGTAGATTTGGAATGTAAGAAGCTTAGAGGCTCTCCTCTCCCCCCTTCCCTACACTCTGGAAAGAGCCTGGTGTGGCCATTTATGCCTCAGGATGAAGGCACTGATGGCTACAGACTCCTACGGTTGGTCTCTAGCATCTACTTCTGAACTCTCCATCTGCTCAGTGCTATGTTCCTGCTGTTGGGCTTGCTTGCTCCAGGTCATCTTCCTGACCACTGTCCCTCAGCAGAGCTCCCCTGCTGACCTGGCTTCCTGTCTTAACAGCTGTATGTGCTTCATAGCTAGCTGAGCCTCAAGATAGACCTGGTCTTGAGTGCCACAAGGACTCCAGGTGCACCGGGAGTACCCGACCCATCCCCGGGAACGTTGCCGTCTACCTTGTATTTTGAGGCAGGGTCTCTTGCCCAAACTAGTCTAGCTGAAGACTGGTTGGCCAGTGAGCTTAGGGATCCTGTCTTGTCTCCCCAGTACTGAGATAACGTGTGTGTCTCTATACTCATTTTTTTTTTTTTTTCGATGAGTGCTGATGATCTGAATTCAGGTCTACGTGCTTGTGTGACAAGCATTTTATCCACTCCCTGAACCCACCCCAGCTCCCTGAGTGTCCCTTTCTGAGTGATCGCCTGCCTTCCTCCGGCCTCCTGTGGCATCAAAAGCACCCATGCAAGTCACATGTCTTCAGACACACAAATGAACATGCAGACTTCAAAGGGCAAGACCCAAACCAACAGCTGTGAATTAGTGTAGACAACGCAGGGCCAAACTGTGGGCCTGCGCCTCAACAGCATCCAGGCATGCGGAGTCCCGAGCAGTTTGCCAGAGGTCACAGGGTCACAGGTGGGTTGAGCCACATCCGGGGTAAGAGTGAACTGAGCAGGAAGTGCAGGGTAACTGGCCAGAAGGAATGTTCAGTGTCACGGACATCAGAGCAGGCTCAGACTTTGAACCAGGATCTGTGGACTGCCAGCCAGAACCTGTCCTAGTTACCAGTGACTGTCCACTTGACACAGCCTGGAGTCACCTGAAAAAAGACTCACTTGAGTAACTGTATCAGGTTGCTCTGTGGGGCGTTGTCTTGTTAGCTGATGTAGGCGGGCTCAGCCCACTGTGGGCAGTGCTATTCCGTGGGCCGGTGGTCCTGGGCTGTGTAAGGTATGAGCTGAGCAGTGAGCCAGCAAGCAGCATTCCTCCATGCTTTCTGCATGAGTTCCTGCCCTGCCTTCCCTCAGTGTAGGACTGTGACCTGGAAGTGTGACGTGGAATAAACCCTTGCCTCCTCTAACACCCCTGGTCGGAGTGTTTTTATCAACTCACCAGAATCAATCTGGAACAGTGCTCCTTCCTCTGTCCCAGGCAGCGTGGGTCCTGACCTTGAGACTGGATTCTCTGTCTTTGGAAGATTTAGGTTTTCCTAGAGAAATATCTGTACCTGGAGAACAGGTGGTCTGGTTGGAAAGGAGGGATTAGCACTGGGCTCCCTTGGTGGCTTGGCCATCCAGTCTCTGCCTCCTTATATTAAGGTCTGACTGCTTGTCACACAGAACTAGGAAGCGATAACCTCAGGATCCCACTGACAGATACAGCTGGGCGGGGGAAGGGGGGGAAGAGGAAGGACGAGGAAGGGAGGGGATGGGCACAGGGGCGTGAGCCCAGAGGAAGAGAGGGGACGGGCACAGGGGCGTGTGAGCCCAGAGGAAGGCGGCAGAGAGGAAGGGCCTCACAGTAAAACCGTCCACACCGCTCATTACACGTATTGCATTCATCTTTATTATTTCATTTAGATTCTTTTGGGCATGTGTTATGTGTTTGTGGGAACCCAGGTGTTCTGATTGGCTAACCCGGCTCCCATCACAACTGCGCTAGAATTAGATCCGAATATATTGGAATGAATTCAGCTTGACCAGGGAGGAGGGCAGCACATCTCTGGCCTTTGTTGCTTCGTTTCTGCACCTGTGGTCCTGGAAGCAAAGTTGGGATGGCTTAGTGGGTAAAGGTGCTTGCAACCAAGCCTGACGACCTGTTTAATCCCTGGGACACATGGTGAAATGTGAGATACACTGCCATAAAGTTGTCTTCTGACCTCCGCCGTGCACTGTAGCGTGGATGTACCCCTCCCCACCAAAATAAAAATGGAAAAAAAAAAAAATTAGAAATAAAACTGTTTGGGATTCCTGGGTCTTTGGCTCCATCTGCTGGCCATTTTTGGTCACTGCATCTCTTCGCCATAGTGCCACCCTCTATTAGGCAAGGCAGTTTCCAGGCAATGCTGTGGGGAGGGGTGGACGAATCCACGGTTATCCAGGGAATTTCTGTGACTCACAGGGAATTTCTGGGTCACACTGGCGATTAGTTTTCATCCGTCTGCTGCTAGCAGCTTGGTACGCAGGAGGCAATTTGTGATGGGGAAGCCACAAGTGCCTGGACAGAGGCGCTGGAGACCCAGGGGCCAGTCATCCCCAGTGGTCACTGAGGCCTGTGAGGAAGCAGGAGCTTGCTCCAGATCACACTGGTACATTCCAGGTTTCCTCACACCCAAATCCGTACTGTTCCCCTCTCTC